TCCCCCCTCTCCCCCTCTCTCCTCCTCTCCCCTCCCTGCCCCTATTCCCCCCTTCTCCTGAATCACCATTACAATTTATAGAAATTAACATAGCTGAAAGAGCAGTTATGGTACTTGTTGTCACAGCAGGGGATTTCACATCGTTATCATCAGAGCAGGGAACACATATCCCATGCTGCCAGATTTGTTCACATCTGTAGCTGCTGGAGTGCTTGAGAGGATTGTGAACCACAGCCATTGATTGTGAAGTCAATTGTAATTACCATCCTCTTCTATCCTAGGAATTGCCTGCTGGCCATCGATGTGCTGACACGCCGATCATGAAATGGAAGAGATGTACTGCTGTTCACTTTTCCTCATCCCTCTTTAAATTGGCGGTCCGTGCGCAGATCTGTTTTTGCTTTGAGCTGTGGCTCATATGGTCCAGGGTTCCACTGTTGGTCTCAACGTTCTAAGTACAATTATGTATCTTTGCATGCAGGCTAGGGAGGAGGGGAATGAAGAAACTAGTGGTCTCAAAGGGATCTTCCTCATGAAGACGGAGCATATAACTGCAGCTCATGCAGATTTCTTGAAGAAGTGGGAACGCTTGGTCGATCTGGAAGGCCAAGATGCACAGGTTTGGAAAACAGACAAAATGCAGTGAATGAATGTGCATTGTGATCCTCAGATTTTTTTTTTGTTTTCTTTTTTTTTTGAAAAACCAGTCTCCTTGCTAGGAGAGGTGATACGAGCACCCACTCCTAGCACGAGTCCTGGGTGCTCCGGTCTATTGGTGGGAAGCAGCACCTGCTGGACTATTGAACAGTCAGTGCAATTTTATTGTCCTTCATTGTCATGAATGATGTGTTCACAGATTTCTTCTCAAAAACGCGCTGGAAGAAAGAGGAAAGGAGGAAGAGAATTTCTTTGAAATTTGTATCGACACTTGGTGCTTTCTGCTGAAGTTCGGCATATTTCCAGGATGCTGTCCTTTGGGCCAGCACATGGTGCTCTCTGCTGAAGCTGATGTACAACACCTTTCCAGGGGATGCTGTCTTCTGGACCAGGATCAGCAATACACGCACACACACACACACACAGCAAGAGAGAGAGATGTTATGATCCTGGCCAATTCCGAAGTACACATTCATCAGAAAGTCCAATGCCGTCCAATTGCAAAAAGAAATGAATGAACTTGAGAGGAGAGAGAGGGAAAGAAGAAGAAGAAGAAGAAGAAGAAGAAGAAGAAGAAGAAGAAGAAGAAGAAGAAGAAGAAAGAAAGAAGAAGAAGATGATGTACACCAACATAGACCAATGATAATGCTCTTCTTCTTCGCTAACCACTCTCCTCCTCCTTATCTCCTCCCCTCATATTCAATCACGAAATAATAATAATAATGTTGAATGGCTGAACCAGAATCAATGTCCAAATCCCTCGTCTACTGCAGGTATCACATGAGGTCCACTATAGCCATGACACCCTTCTGCTTCCTCTTCTCGAAGGCCTAGGCTATGGCGGACTGCTAGGATGTGCAGAAAACAACTCAAGCAGCTATGGCTGCTCTAGCTCAGGCCGCCATGCCTGACTCTACCTCAAAGCTTCTTGGTGTAGCTCTACCCCCACTGGGGCCTTCTTGCTGCAGTGCCCACCAAGGTGATGAAGATGGCAACCACCATAGCCAGGTAAGTACCTCTGGCGCTCCTCCCTTCTCCCCGAATCCTTGCTCCTTCCCCAGCAGCGCTGTTCCAGCCAGCGCTCCAACCAGTGTGTCGCCAAACTTGCACACCGACAATGAGGAGGAGCACCTTGCTCCTCCTGGAGATATAGCGGCCTGCTTGCCTCTTGGCGAGTGACTTCCTAGGCCGCGCGGCCTCCAAGCAGCCGGTACCTCCTCCCTTTCGGAGGGAAACATCATTCCAGACTCTGATGTTCCCCGTACAGGCCCTAGACTCAGACTGGTTGGACTGGTACGCACCTAGACCTAGCCTACAACTACTGGGCCTCTAAAAAATGCCAACTTTTGTCTTCTTCTGCTCGGCCTCAAATACCTGGCACATCTACCTCTACTTGGTGTGGTACCGGTGTGAGGAAACCCGGGGAGGGGCTACCTACCGTTCGCTGAAGCCATGGACTACGGCGCCTGTCACTTCGCCGCGCCCGCTTCCGAGGTCCTCAGCGACCAGCAGGGTTGTCCCCTTCAGCAAGGTCACTCTTGGTCCTTAACCACAGGCCATTTTAAGATCTTTTCCTTTGCGAAAATTTCACAGTAATCTTGGTCGGAATTGATCCCTCCGTGTCACGCAGGAATGTTCAATCCTCTTACCGTTCTCTTCGGATCAGCTCACCTCCGCGCAATCAGAAGAGCGGCGAAGCCGCCAAAGAGGGAACATTAGCTTTCATTTGGCAGAGAGCAAGGAGCCAATCAGGGCTCTTTTCAATGACTTATCGAAAAGGACATTTCTCGAAAATGATTTGCTGTCCAGTCTACAAGGCTCGGAGCGGCGAACCAATCAAGGCTCTTTTCAATAATTTCTCGAAAATGATATTTCCCGAAAATGATCTCCTGGCAGAGCAGTGAGCCAATCAAGGCTCTTTTCAATAATTTCTCAAAAATGATATTCCCCGAAAATGATCTGCTGGCCAGTT